TATATTAATAAATATTTTTTAATTAAACTTAAAAAATTTAAGTTTTATATTGAGCCAAAAAGCGTTCGGAGACTTTTTGCGGGGGTCTGTATATGGCTATTTATACTCTTTTTATTATATTCTAATTTCTTGTATACGTTTGAAGAGCCTGATCTCAAAAAAAAGTTTGCTAAAAACCTGAGTTTGAAGAACTCATATGACCTCAAGGATGAAAAACAAGAGAACACAGCTTCAGAAACTAAATCCGGAGCATTGATTGATACGGAATTCACTTCAAAACTGGTAGCAAATGTTGAAGATGACATCGAAAACATTGCAGTAAGACTAGGACTCAATAAATTCACAAAAAATAAAGATAAGTGGAAGAAATTTTATGGTGCGTAATAAGACTGGTCCAGCTTAATTAGTTTGAAGTTATCACTATTCAACTTATTTAAAAGCAACATATCCTTTGTTTAGTCTTCGCTGACTCAGATTTCATTTGGCCTCAACCCCCGACGGACATTAATGAGCATTGCTTAATTTTTGATTATGTCATCAATCCAGATTAGGATCCAATTGGGGAGGAACTTGCCACAAATGCACTTGAATATCGTCGTTTACTCGAATCCGACACTCTTGATCCATTGCAGGGTACACATATATTAATCGTTCATAAGAAATTTGTTAGATACGGATCAAGTAAAGAAGAAAAGAAAATGAGGGAGGATTATCCAGATGCTATTACGTATCTGTTAAAAAACGTATTGTTAAATTGCGTAGATTTTCAGCACCTGATGCTAATACAAATACAGGTGCAGAGAAAGAGTGGCAGGTTCGTATAATTTATAATATATGGATTATAAGGTCATTGACAGGTGTTATTTGATATATTATACTTGTCAATGCCCTAATAAGAACGACATCATTTGGATTTTTTTTGCCAAATATAGGTGCATATTCGTCTTCGAAATACAGTAAATGCCCAGGATGAAGCGGGAATAGCAAATGTAGAGCAAGGTTTCCGAATGATAATGGATACAGACGCAACAACGACTGTAATCCCATACTTTATAAGAAGAAAACTATATAATGCTCAAGATGGTTGGAGTCCAAATCCTAGTAGAGCTGATGGATATGGTGCTAGCACAAAAATGTTTCAGGCTTCAAGAGATTGGTACATTTGCTTAGGTAATGGAATCAACTGATCTAGTTGGGTTAGGACAAATGAAATTCATTCATGGCAAAGTAATCACATGTGGTGTAATTGGTTACGATGTTTTTAATAATATTCTGCATTACAAACCCTGTAGGCAACCCTACGTATTTCTTAAAATGATATTTTTGGCCAAATACCACAATTACAAGGATCAGAATAAATGTTAAAATGAGAATTTCTATAGCCAAATTTAATCAGCAAAAACATTCGAATAAGTGGTCTGGATTTAAT